CTCTAATAATTTAATGAAATGTCAAAGCTTCCGCGTTTCGCGCAGGAGGGGGAAAACTGAATTCAGACAAGGATTAAGAGTCTAGAACGGTACAACGAATAGTCTTCTTTCTCTAATAATTTAATGAAAGGTCAAAGCTTCCACGCTTCGCGCGGGAGGGGGGAAGAACTGCATTCAAACAAGGATTAAGAGTCGAGAATGTTACAACGATTCGTCTTCTTTCTCTAATAATTCAATGAAACGTCAAAGCTTCCGCGCTTTGCGCGGGAGGGGGAAAACTGAATTCAGACAAGGATTAAGAGTCTAGAATGGTACAACGAATCATCTCTCTCTAATAATTTCATTAAACTATAAAAGGTCAAAGCTTTCGCGCTTTGCGCGGAAGGGGAAAACTGAATTCAGACAAGGAATACGAGTCGAGAATGGTACAACAAATCGTCTTCTTCCTCTAATATTTAATGAAACGTCGAAGATTCCGCGCTTCGCGCGGGAGGGGAAAACTGAATTCAGACAAGGATTAAGAGTCTAAAACGGTACAACGAGTCATCTTTCTCTAATAATTTCATTAAATTATAAAGGTCAAAGCTTTCGCGCTTTGCGCGGGAGGGGGAAAACTGAATTCAGGCAAGGAATATGAGTCGAGAATGGTACAACGAATCATCTTTCTCTAATAATTTTAATTAAAACTATAAAAGGTCAAAGCTTCCGCGCTCTGCGCGGGAGGTGGAACACTGAATTCAGACAAGGAATACGAGTCGAGAATGGTACAACAAATCGTTTTCTTTCTCTAATAATTTAATGAAACGTCAAAGCTTCCGCGCTTCGCGCAGGAGGGGGAAAACTGAATTTACACAAGGATTAAGAGTCTAGAACGGTACAACGAATAGTCTCATTTCTCTAATAATTAATGGAAGGTCAAAGCTTCCGCGCTTCGCGCATAATGGGGGGGGGGGGGGGTTGGCAGCGAGCTGCCCGAATATGCGTTTTTGATATCTTTTCTCGTTTATTTTGGTGATAAATAACACTTTCACATTATGATGCTCAAATTGTTGCTCGCTCACTAGCCGAATTGTGAAATCAGAAAATTACTTTTTCAGGCAAGAGGCTATGGCCCCCCCCCCCCCGATGAACATGTCAAAAATTGTACCGGTATGGTGCTTCTAATATGACCTTGAAAAAACGGTCTGCGCAATTTTCAAATGTCCGGCCCCCTCTATTGGAAAATCCTGGATCCGCGCCTGCCATCTAATTTAACAAGTAACATCCACTAATCATTCCCTACTTCCATTTAAGATTAATCACTAATCACTAACACATACGCTTCAACTCGACACATATTGAAAGGCTCCAAATTTTATATATACTTGATCGTAGCATCTTAACAGAAACTGCTACGGTTAAAGTCCTGAACGATCTTCTCCTGGCCATAGACAAGGGTAATGAAGCCGTGCTCATCCTCCTGGATTATACGGCTGCATTTGACACCATCGACCATGCCCTGTTACTTCATCGCCTGGAAAATGACTTTTTCATCACCGGAACTGTGCTTGATTGGATACGCTCATATCTCCACAATCGCAGTCAACGTGTGATCATCAACGACACGCCTTCTGCAACATTTCCACTGATCTGCGGCGTTCCTCAAGGTTCCGTAATCGGCCCACTTCTCTTCGTTCTCTACACCAGCCCACTGTCTAAGGTCATTAACTCTCACCATGGGATTCAACATGCGATGTACGCTGACGACACTCAGATTTATATAACTCTTAAGCCTAACGGGAAGGATGATGCGACTCGGAAACTCAGCAGTTGCCTTGAAGACATTAGGTTCTGGTCTTCTAACAATAGACTTTGCCTTAATGAACGAAAATCTGAAATGATCCACATTACTTCCAAATTCAGAAACACCGATTCCTTCCCCGACTTGGTTACCAGAGATGGCTCACTGAAGGGTAGTGAATACGTTCGAGACCTGGGTGTTTTAATCGACAAAAATCTTACTTTTCAACAGCACATTAAAAACGTATGTAAATCGGCATCTTTTGGAATCTTCAAAATTGGGAAAATTAGGAAACTACTTGACCGGCCCACAACTGCAAAATTAACCCATGCATTTGTATCCTCCCACCTTGATTATTGTAATTCAATTTTTTCTGGTCTTCCGCAATCGTCCCTACTTCCACTTCAAAGAATTCAGAATACTGCTGCAAGGCTTGTTACTCTCTCGAGAAAGTTTGAGCACATAACCCCAATATTGCGTTCTCTTCATTGGCTTCCCATACACCATCGTATCACATTCAAAGTTCTTCTTCTTACATACAAAATTCTCCATGGCCAAGCCCCTAAATATCTTTCAGATTTGATTTCCTTACGTTCTTCTAGTTCTTTAAGACCTCTTCGATCATCATCAACCTTGCAGTTAACCCTCGGACCTCGTACCGCTACAAAATATGGCGACCGAGCTTTCTCAGTAAATGCCCCTATCCTTTGGAACAAATTACCAGCGCACTTTCATAATATTCATTCTCTCGACCAATTCAAGTCCTTGCTGAAAACGCACCTTTTTAATTCATTAATAATATTCTGCAGTTGTGAGTCGGTCAAAGGAGGTGCACACCGTCTTATTTTTTGTTTGTTCGATCCTATGTTTGATCCTATGTTTGACCTCTTGTATGTATGTTTGTTTGATCTCACTCTTATCTTATTTTTTATTATTATATATGCATGATTTATTGAATAAAGAACAGATGTATAAGTTGTGTGTTTATTATAAGTTTTGGTAAATAATTGTTAAGTCAGAATATGGTGCGATTAGAGACACCAGTATTAAGCGCCTTATAAATATTGTTTATTATTATTATTATTATTAAAAGGAAAAGTGGTTGACAATTTCCTGAAATATCACGTTTTGATTTGTTTTGAACTGGGTAATAATTAAAAATTGTCTTGTCTTTGCTTAGCCATGTTAAATGAATTAGTAAATGTTTTAAAGTCCTTAAATTTTCATTCAACCACAAAAAAGAATTGTTTTATTTAAAAAAGAGTTTAATTTGGTCTTAATGAATATTCATAAATTATGTAAATATTTTTATTACGCACTGCATCGGTCCTTACTTTAAAAAGATAAGAATAATCAACATAAATTGTTTGAGTAATACGTATAATTTCTGATTTTGAGTTAAAATTACTAAATTAATACAAGCTGAAATTACTTAAAGTTCTTATGTATTTGATTTTACTTAAATATTCCACGTATGTTCTACTAAATTGAAAGTTTGAGTTAGCAAGACTTAAATTTAGTGCGTAAGTGGCAAAACTAATGTTTTCAAGTAAATTCTACATGGAAAAAATACGTAAAAATTACCAATGAACAAATTCTTTTTTACAGTGTGGTACTATCGGCGATTCATTCTTTTTTAGAATATTTACGCCTTTCACTTTTTTTTTTCTTTTCTTTTGGTACTATTTGTAAATTCATACTCTTCTCTTTTTTGTTGTTGATAATATAATCTCAGATCTACTGGTCCATGAAAACCCCTCACCGCAATTGGCACCTTCCTGACAGACCGGCGCGGTACATTGCGCAATCTTCTCGGCCATCATTGGCCTAGGCAACTCCGGTGCCGGTGAGAGGATTCTGGGGTAGATCTCCAGAGTCTCTTGTTTGGGGTTTACCGTCCTAAATCCGCCTTTACTCTTTCTTACCTTTTCTCGGGTTTATAGGGTTAAATAAAAACATTGGAATATATGTTTGTCGGTAACTGATGGCTAGTTTTGTCGGGTAGTGAGCGCTATTTTCCCCCCTTTTTTGACCCCGAACATTTGAAAATCAACACCACCCCCCCCCCTTGAGCAAACAAAAAGTGATAAATTTATGGTCACAAAATATTTTGTTAAAACTTTTTTTGGGGGGCAGTGGGGGGGGGGGGGGGCATCGGGGGAACGGGCAAGGCCTGCTCGACTCCCCTGGAATCCGCGCCTGTATAATACAACGTCTCGCGACGTGGCAGATTTTTTCTCTAACTTCAAACCAATCAGAAGGCCTCGTTTTTTTTCAAGGAAGTGCCGGTGGACATTTATGCGCCAAATGTGTTTCTCAAATTGCAAAAGATCCCTATTTAGAGAGGGGGTAGGAGAAAGCAATTTTACGTCATATACTCCAGGAAATGCCTGAAAATGGGCCCAATGTGGTTCTATAATAGCAAATGCTTCCTACTCAGGGAGGGGGTTCTGACCCCCTCCCAGACCCACCCCGTTTGGTCGCTCCGCTCAACGCCTAGCTCTGTCGCTTCGATCCATCGTTTTTTATATTTTCACCCCCATACGATTTTGTGTCCCCCCGGTATGAAATTCCTGGATCCGCCACTGATGATGATGTTGATGATTGCATTGTCGATAATGATGATTATAAGAATATAACTAAAAGTAACAATAATAATGATGATGATGATAATAATAATATTTATTATTAAAACAAATAACAAATGCTGCTGCATTATGATGATTATTAAAAAAACAGCCGTGGTCATGGGATTCTTATTCATTTCTTCATGCATGCACACAATTGCAATGTGTGAAACATCTTCAATGTTCTCCATTTATATGACATTTATGCAATAGGGAGTAATGGCCACCCAAATAGTTTCAAATTTCAGGCGCCGGCTTTCATCCCCCCTTTCGTTGTTTTCATCATTCCTTTATGCTGAAAATGATGAGGTACTATACAATGTAATTCAATCAAAAATATGATGTCTTCTTTTAGAAATGCTATTTCTTCTTTTTGTTATTCTTCTTTTTTCTTCTTTTCGTTCTTCTTCTAAGTTCTTGTTCTTCTTGTTCTTGTTTTTGTTTTTGTTCTTGTTATTCATATTCTTGTATGTTTCTTGTTGTTCTTGTTCTTCTTCATCTTCTGCTTTTTCTTCTTCTTGTTCTTCTTAAATGTTCTTCTTTTTGTTCTTGCTCTTGTTATTTTTGTTCTTGTTATTCTTAATTTTTCTTGTTCTTGTTCAAATGTTCTTCTTCTCGATGTCTCCTTCTCGTCTGTTTTTCCCTTTTTGTTTGCCAGCTTGAAGACACATCTATTGTGAGACTTACTTGTGACGCGATGTAATCTGTGAAAACATTGTGATTTCTGCCGCTCAAAGTCAGATAATCAAAGATCAAAACGAGAGAAAGATCATCGGAAACTGCTCTAACTATCTAACCTCTGCTTACATGTAAGTGGGAAATAGAGTAAAAAACGTATATATGTTGAAAATACTGTTTTATCAATACAAAGTTGTAGGCACGTCTGAAATGGTGTTACTCATCCGTGCACTGAGCTCCTGCCGCGCCTCGCCCGCAGCCAGCGCCAGTACGCGTACGTGCCAGTGCAGTGAGTAGAAGAACGGGCGCTTGTTCAAGTTGTTGTTCAGAAACCTATCCAAATTAGACCCGTATCGCCGGCGTAGAAATACCCTACTAAAACATACCCAAAATGAAGTAAATATTCATTAAATGTTCAAACAGAGATCATGAATTAAAATTTGTTATGTTTATTACCTGTTTCATGTCAATTTTCTTGTTACTTTTGAGTATTTTTTGGGAAAACAATGATATTAGTAGACCTAGGCCTATACACTTTTTCACAGGTTTCACGGCAAACCGCTACACAATACAAGTGCATACCGATGGTGGGTTGTGGGCGGGTGCACGCCTGTGTGAACTTGTGAAGTTATCTACCATATAAATGTCTCGGATCCTCATTACGGTAGATAACTTCACACAGGCGCGCCTAGGACAGTCTTGCTAGCTAAGGAGGCGGGGGCCAAGCCAACGTGTCGCGAAGCACAGTGCGAGCCCTTCTTCTTCAAGATAATCTACCTCCTTCAATACTGAAGATTCTTGTAGATGCTGTATACTCTGCCTGATTGGGGTGTGCAGGTGGACCATTACACCGGGTTTCTTCTTCTTCTTCATCAGTAAATGCTACTTCATACAACAAAGATTACGCACTGCAGTGTGGTGTGTGCCATGTCCAAAATGTGTGTAGGCCTCAATCCAGGTGCAAAATATATATACAGTAGTGCAGTGGGTTCTTAACGGGTGAGGTCCAAGGGCAGAGCCCCAGGATGCTCTCAAGTTTTAGCATTTCAGAGCCTTCACAATAGCTGTCTTGAGTGATAGAAACACACACTATGATACAGAAACTTTCATTGATTGGGGTATTCATAACTTGTAGTTAAAGCTTTTACCAACCTTAAAATATAGTATTAGTAGGCAAGCTTTTGTCTACTCTTGTGAACTTTTTAAAGCCAAGTGATTATTCACACACTTTCTGTCTGCTGCCTCAAGATCACTGGGGCAAAGATAGGTCAGGGAGATAGATGACAATTAAAAGCCAGAGTACTTATTCAGGGAAGGACTAATCCTTTTCTTCCAGATGGTTTCTTTCACCTGTGTTGACCAGAATTGCTTTTCAAGCTCAATAATGTGGACATTATCCCATTGAATATTGAGTCCAGTATAAAGGGTGTGGTCTTTTATTGCTGAATGAGATGAAATGCTCAATCTTTTGTGCTCTTTTAAATTCGCTCCAGTAAACTCGGGCAATAGATACCAAAAAATTGTGTGAATAATCAAAAGTCAACTGGAGTGGACATAAGCTTGCCTAAAATGCCTACTAAATTTTAGGGTTGCTGGTATAAGCTTAAATTACATGACAGTGATGAAACACACAAAGTTTTGAGAAGCCTTGTTTAAGATCATCTTCAAGTCTACATTAAACCAATTCCTTATAGGTCCTACTAAGCTACAGTAATCAGTTAAAAGTGAAAATTACATTGTGACTATAAGTGAACTCAAAAATTCAATATTTGTAGGAAAAGAAAATATCCAAAGATCTTCGTAAAAATGTTGTACATCTGTTTTTCAGGAAACAGTAAAGTCATTGGAGGGAGGGGTAATCTGCAGGCCCCGATTTTAAAAAAAAAATCCAGATTTTATTTTTCCTGATTTAAAAAAAAAAAAAAAAAAAAATCCTGATTTTTTTTTTTTAGTGCTCACCATCAACCCTGAATCTGCCATGGCAGGCAAGCTATGGTCAAAAGTATATTCTTCAGCTTTCAGACCCATATCAATTTCAAGATAAAATGTCCAAATGTGTTAACTGAATAGTTTAAAAGATGTGTTTTAATGTCTAGAAGGCTTAAATTGAGTCATTTTGATATAAATTTGTTTGATAATAGAGCTTATCCATTACAAGTTCTGTATTGTATAATTTTGATTCCCTCTTTCTTCTATATTTCAGATGCAGCATCTTTTGGCCAAGTTTGAGTATTCTTTGATCAGACCGTTCAACGATGTTATGGAACGCCTCTCTGGCATAGGCCTGACCACCGATCTGTATCTATGAACACTGTCTACTAGGATATTTTCGTTTCTTATTTTATCACTTACCAATACCATCAAAAACAGGAATCTCGATCACGCCTGGAGCTCATAATCTTCCCAGACCTTCAAGAGTATAGGACTAATTTTCCTGTGGAAACTATATTGGAATTTTCCTTGGTGAATCTCCTCTCTTCCTTTGATTTGATGTCATGGCTGGGGCAAAGAACAAGCCAACCGGCCCCAGCAACTTTCTTTTGTGGTTACTCCATCGCATGTACACGGTAAGGATCACCATACTATGGGTCATGACCGTGCTTCTGGTGTGTGTGTTCCTGATCTGGGGCTACGTGGATCAGTTCTGTGAGCATTGTGTGGAGCTGGATAACCAGAAGCAAATGGCAGGAGGAGATGGGAGGATCCAGCAACGGGATCAGTGGCCGACAGCCAGCAGCAGTAAGTAGTTTTAATGATACAATTTAAAAAAGGAGAAAAACCTGCCCTTACTTTAATTCATTGCATGCGGTAACTGGGTGGCTCCTGTTTAAATCCCATCGGAACACGTTTATTCAGTAGCCAATGAGTTAAACAAAACTTAGATCTGTGATAACAAGCCGTATTATCGTATATAAGCCTGTTTTGCCACCAAGTTATTGAACAATTGAGCAATATCTGATTGGAGTTGTGAGTGATACACAAATATGAAATGAGTTTTGAAAGCTAATTTTGCCCCCCCCCCCCAAAAAAAAAAAAAAATTCCCTGTCAATAATAGTACTGGCAATTATTGTAGTTGTTACAATAAAAAATGAACTATCCTGTTGCAAATGTAGGTCCCCATGCTAAAAAGGTTATTGTTAGAAATCATTAACAATGCATTTATCCCTCTACAGACTCATGTATGACAGTGAATTTTGCCGAGGAGGGCAGTCAATCGCTTGTAGCATTGGCCAGTTATCCAGGCTCGGGCAACACCTGGCTGAGGCATCTATTGGAACACTCTACCGGCATTTATACAGGCAGTGTCTACATTGACAGGAGACTCAAAGAGGGCGGTATGTCATATGAAGAGATTTCATTGCCGCTTATTTAAATAGTTATTTTTTAAAATTATTTATTTGTAACTAAAATGGCACGTGTGGATGAACCAAAGAGTATATGCTTGCAACAGAGCTCTTACACATAAATACTATCTGTGTATTTTAAAGTATCAATAATGGCATTACACTTTTATTATTATTTTTTTTTAAATGCTGCATTTTAGTGAGTCGTATGTAAACAAGTGTTTAGTGGTAACCTCTCCAGAAACGCGACATGTGTACAGTGGCAACTCTTTCTGTTTCTCTTGGATGGCCATTCAAGAAAATTTTGAATGTATCTTCATTTATGCCTCTATATTATGTATTCTCTTGTATCTTATGAACTGATGGTTAGGGTAAAGAGAAGTCAGGTCTTGGTTTTCTTCTCCTTACATGTACATGTATCCTATATACAGTTTGGAGAACTGCAGTTGGTGCAGGTGTTGGTAGTACACATATATCAAAGAATAGGCGGGTTTACAGTGACATCACACAGTGGAATGTTTAAAGGGACTTGGTAACATTGTTCAGATGAGAGATAGTGGTGCTAAGATAGTGACTTCAATGCTAGATGTACAATTAAAGATAATCTGAAAATTTGAGTGAAAACGGACCATTATTCATGGTACAAATTGGGAAAAACTGATCTGATCGATTCCTTAATTCTCCCAACTATATTATTACAATTTAATTACATTTCAGGTGAATAGAAATCGTCACAAAGCAATAAAATGGCCCTACATTCCATTCCAGACATTAAAGTGTTAACAGATTTTTTATAGCCTGTTTTATGTCTTTTTTTCATGGAAAAACGGTTGGGAAAATTCAAAAATGGTTGTGAGAATTTACTGTTAATCACTGTTAGAGGGTGTCATACATCGACGCCTTCAAAGAAAACCTATATCTTTGTGGTTTCAGAATTTTTTCAGGATTTTTTGCATGTCAGAGGGTTAGTACAGTAGAAGGAATACATGTATAGGTAAGTAACATTTTATACAAAAATTAAGCAATTTTTTCATCAACCTTCAACAATGTTACCAAGTCACTTTAACGTGGAGGTCAAGTACATCATCATCTTTATTTCTACCATTAGACTTCACATGAACTCAATCATCTTCGTCCTTGTGATCCTAGGTTTCCGCGGAGAGAGTGTCAACTTTATGAAGAAGAGTGTCCTTGGTGTGAAGATGCACCGATGCAGTAAGAATGAGCTGGGAAAGTTTGAGGCACTTATCCTTCTTGTCAGGAACCCGTATCATGCGATGATTTCAGAATGGCATAGATACCACTCCACTGGACATGTGAACAAAGTTGATGAAGATACATTCCACACGAAAGGTGAGTACTCTGTCCTTTTAGAATCCCTTCACTGTCTTACTAAAAAGCAGCTTCTTACTGAGAGTAAGTTTTTTTTTTACTGTGACTAAATAGTATACAAATAATACACAGCAGTGAGGGCATTCATAGTAAGAATTACACACACAAGGTACCTCTGGAACAGTCTCACATGCTCAAGGCTGTTTGAACTGTTTCGAAGAGACAGATAGTGGGTAATTTTACTAATGCCAGAACATAATGATGTTTTATTTGTTTTTATGAAATGATGTTTTTTGTTATTTTATGAAATGATGTTTTATAATATGATTTTACTAATGACCGGTCGTTAGTAAAATTATGTGTTAGGCAAAATGAATGCCTGGTCACCTCTTAACCAATCATTTGATTAGGATCTGCTTCATCATCTTAAAATACATATGTACAATATAATTACCGTGCTATGATCTGAGAATGGCTTAGATACCACTCTACTGGCTATGTGAACAGAGCAGATGAAGACATAAACATTTTGATTTAATCACAACACCACCAACTACAGTGAAACATGCTTCAGCATCTACCTGTATAGAAAGATCATTTTCTGTTTCTCTTGAATAGTGTTTCTCAATGCAACGAGAAACATAAAGACCACCTGCCTGTAAATTCTACTTTCCTTGTCTCCCTTGAGCGATCTTATATACAGGTTTCACTGTAGTCGTAAGGATCTCTTACATTGATTTGATTGAGTGAATGTTACTATTCTCAGTGATGTATCATATTTTGTTCTCTCTTTCCTTTGTGTGTGTGTAGAATGGGAGGACTTTGTCGAAGAGGAAAGTAGCCATTGGGAAAGAATGATGCGCAACTGCTTAAAGGACTCTCTTAAAACCAAGGTCGTGTTCTACGAAAACCTTCAAACGAACCTAGAACTTGAGCTCGCAAATCTTCATCTATTCCTCAGGGTACCTATCGATATTGAAAGGTTAAAGTGCGTGAAGGGCAACTCCGAGGGGAAGTTTCACAGGGGGGCGGATCAAGAGTTTGACCCCTATACAGAAGAAATGGTTGCTAAAATCAACAAGAGGATCCTAAGTGCTGCTGTTGCACTCAAGGAGAGGGCAAATGTTAAATTTCCGGTGGATTATAGGAAATTACCCGGTTCATAGCACAGGTTTCTTGATGTGTAAAGGTGGATGCATGTTGAACTGTGGACCGCAAATTGTAGGTGCTATCTAATATTATCTACTTTAAGCTTTTGGATAATATGTTTTCTGCTACCAAATCCAAGATATTTCGTTCCTTAACTTAAAAAAAAAAAAAAGATATGGGAGCATGCGGCCTCACCCAGGCAGATGTTGAAACCCAGAATGCTTGGAGAAAAGCCATAAAGGAAATGGAACGTCATCCATCCCACAACTTGATGACTATGATGTCACTGACTTCATCACAGTTTTCAGTGTACCTGATGATTCTGTGAAGTTGACATAACCTCTATGGCTTGAATGAGAACGAATAAAAAAGAAAATGTTATATGTGATGATGTTGAATATTGATAATTTTTTTCCTTATTCTTGGAAACGTATGGGACAGCAAATGACCAAATACCTTTCGCCTTCCCCTCCATAAATCTTAGTTGCATAAATTCAGAGGATAAAACACGATGGATCATAATCTGTGTATTTGTTTAATGTTAATCTTTGTTCAGGAGGTCAAAGTTCAACATTAGTCTCATTCATTTTGATATCCTTTCATACGGTTACAGACAACGAATATTAGCTGGTGTAGAATGTATATTAAAAGGTTCATATTAACAAGAAGTTAATGCACTGTATATCAGCACTCCATACAAGCAAGCAAGACGTTGTTTCTTTTGTTGTTATCAAAGGCCTCTCGCAAATTGGCAACTTGCAAATTGGCAACTCAGATGCTCAGTACTTGTGTGAATATTTACAGGGCCTTGCATATTTTTTTGTTATTGAATATATGGTTACAGTAGAGTGTATTGATTAAGTCAGTGGGGCCAAACGTAGAAGGATGCCAAACAAGAAATGGCCAACTCATTATTTTAATGAACACTCTAAATATCAGAATTATGGTCATTTATGATATCTAAACGGGGTTTTTAATTGTGACAGCACTTAAAGAATGCCATTTACACCCATATTTTCTTATGTTCTTCCTCAACTTTTTTCCCAAATTCAGTTTATTCATTACGAATAGAACATAATATTTTCTTGTTACAAACATTCCAAGAAAATTAATCGACCTCTCAAAGTACAGTATTATTTTACACCAATTGTTAGATAGATCCCATTGTGATTTTCTGTAAAGATTGCAGGCATATTCTTGTTTTCATAAGAGTGGAATACGTAGTTAGTCGAGGGGGGGGGGGCGGAAGGAATAACTTTATCAGAAGTTTCTAGAACAATTTCCCTTAAGCACCTCCCATTAAACAATACATAAATTTGTGTCCAGATGTACAACTTGTTGGTTCGTTCGTGTCTCCTTAGATCAAGATTAATGTAATCTTGATCTTCGGAGTAGTTGCTACAACCGGCCGTGTCAGACACATTGCCCCGGGGTGCGAGATAGGACTCTTGTAGCATGCCCCCATTTAAAACAATTATACAATTACAGTTAACATTACATTTAATTAATAGTATGAAACTATTAAGATTATTCTCATGTTACGGGAAAAAATATTGCATATATATATATATATATATTATGAATCAATTGATTTGGTCGATCCAGTTCGATGGCACAAACACGGCACTACTGGACAGAGATCCTAATAATTACAGAGCTTGGTCTTGTTGGTAGAATTATATGTTAATAAGCTTCTTCTATATGTGCAGCAGTTTCGTAGTACTACATTTACTTATTGTGTATGTTTGTGTGTGATGTCTTTTGTTCAATTGAGTGCATGTGTGTATGAATAATGAATTTTGTTATTTATTTCATTTTCATGTTCAGTGTTCCTATCATTTGACATTCTATACAAAGTCAGCAAACCAAATAACTAGAATAAACCATATGACTATTTTCAAAGGCACTCATTGCAGTGAGTGGAGAGAAAAATAATCACTACACATCTCTTTATGTACCTTCATGTAAATGTTTAAAACACTTTTATGCCTCCGCCCACCAAAGGTAAGAAACATTATGTTTACGGATTGTCCGTATGTGCGTGTGTGTGTCCGCCTGCTTTCTGGTTAATGCAATATCTCAAGAACCACTTGAGATATGAACTTCAAACTTGACGATAGTACTGGTATGTATCATCATGGGAAGAGTAACTAGATTAAAGATTGTATCATCAACATAGGAAGATAATCCATTTGGGTTCAAAGTTCAAAGGTTACAGAGGTCAATTTAAGAAATGACATGCTTTAGCGTTGCTATTGCGATATCTCAAGAACCATTGTGATATGTCACTAATAATTCCAACCATTTTGTATACTGGATTTAGGACGAAGACATAGGAGATGCAGTCGCATTTGTCTTGTTTTATTATGCAATCATTATTTTTTCCTTTATGTAATCAACATTATTGTTATCATTCAGATTTGCGTTTGTGGTAGTGGTGTCTAGTTGTTTTATCTGTATTTGTATATGTACAAATTGAAATGCCTTGCAATATTGTGAATTCCTTTTTTTTTCTGTCTGTCTCAAACAAAGTCAAGTAGCCTTTGGGCTTAGCTTAAGAAAAGCATGAAGTACAAGGGCTTATTTTGCAATTATTATTCTTTCACAGATTAGTTCTTATTACATGTATCAGTAAATTTGTACACTTTACTTTTCATGTAGAAAGACATGAATGATTTAATGAATATGAGTAATACCCGGTTTATTTATATAGCACTTAATACATCTATGATGTCTTAAAGCACTTTACAGATACACTATTACTCTTGTAGTGCACCTTCTCTACTTCATGGAGAGCATTTGAACTAACGCTTCATTGATGTATTTTTCATAAAACTTTTTTATTAAAATGGGCCATGGACATCAAGTTCTGGTTTGCCTGCACACAAATTATGCACATTCTCTACTCCCTGGGGAGCATTCTAAGCAGGCACCTTTAATACAACCACTCACAATGCTGAACAAACAGCAATGACTGTTAATATGCACCACTTTGTATGATTATGCCCATGTGTGGGGACAAGAAATAGTATTGTCATCTGTTTTGTTTATTAAAAAATGATATGATCTGAAATGTGAATATATACATGTATATACAGAAGAGATCAATATATTTGATATTTTGAAATATCACTGAATATATGTAATGAGAGATGGAAAGATACTTTTTTAGGTAATGATTCCGAAATGTGAATATGTGAAAAGGATGGAAACGTGTAAATCAACTCAAAATCACCTTCTCGTTCTTTGCATTTTATCCTGACTGAAAGGCTGATGATATGTGCTGTAAACACATTAAAATTTATTTTGTCATGTACTAACCTGTAACTAAATATGTACAGTTAATTTGGGGTCTACTCTATTATATGGAGGATATATAATATAAGAACTAATTAATCAGAAGTTTTCAATTATTCTGTTTGTAACATTCATGGTCGAGCTAAAAATATTCATTTGTGACTGTGAGCTAGTGGATTTAAACTTTATTATCTTATGTTTCCACTTCTCTACTAATGGTTGAAATTAATTCATGAGAATTTATTCAACTGCCTAATATTTTTACTAATCTATCTTTAATATTTAGAACTTTTTATGCATGTATTGCCTTATTAATATTAAAGGCACTTTTTATTCCATTAACAAATTGGGTACATAAATTGGACAGACAAGCTGGACTAATAAATTATGTTATCAGTTGATGTTGTTTCTGTTGAAGTAAGTCATGAGGTAGGGTTCATGTAATGAAGTTTTTGTTTTATAACTGAATTTATTGAGGAAAATCCCAGTTAGTATTTCCTTTACATTGGTGTATCATTTTATTGAAATGTTTGAAATACATGTACTTCTTTTACATGTATGTGTATTGTAATCAGTAAAAAGGAATTTACAAAAATATTCAAATCCAACATTTTCAATAGAATTTTAATTTAAAGAAATTTTGGAAGTGTCTCTTGTGGATAAAATGATAAAGTTTGAACTTACACTATTTCTAAAGAAACAGAACCAAACTATTTTATTTTAGTAGTCTTTATTGTATTTAACTTGTTTTTTTTATAGTAGTTATGAGGGTGGGTTTATCTAGTATTGTGCTCATCGTTAAACCTCAGAAATGGAATTTAAAAGCTTAGGGGCATTTTGTTTTTTTTCTGTGCTTTATAATTTTAACATGCAGTATTACCTAAAAATTGTACATGTATTATCTTTCATGTACTATCGTGTCACACCTTGCTAAACGTGCTGAACAATGAATAAAGATTCATCATCAACTGGAGTATTGTTTCATGTTTTCTTGTTTTTAATGATGGAATCAGCGTTTTGTGAGTCCTTTCATTGAGGGGGCACTGAACAGATGGGGGGGGGGGGGTCTGACTCTGAAAATGAAAAGCAAATTAAAAAGGTTACTGATTTAGGGGGTGGGGATGCAGGAGGTTGTCCAGGCGATTCCTAGTCTCGTCTCTTTCCCTTTCTTGTTGTTTTTGCTTTTGCTTTATTTTTGTTTTTCACCACTTGATTGGAAGGCATGTGACCCAACTACAATGTATACCCTCGAACCCCCAGAAGCCCCGCTACTGGATGGAATCTTTTGATTTAAAAAGAAAATATACAGCCATAGTCTTTTGTCTTGGACACAATTTTGTCCATTGGAAAATTGACCTAAATTATCAAGGGCCGCCCGACACCCCACCCTGTCTGAAATTCTTGTAATTTTTGTAATTTCTTTTTTTGTATCCCTTTGTCATTTAAAAAAAACATTTTTTTTGTATATGTGTTTTAATGCCCAACCATATTCCTTTCTGACACAGTTTGTGCATTAGTTAGATGGGGGTGAGATCGACCCCACTTTGGAGTCTATTGAGGGAGAGGGGGCTCAGGGACCACCACAAATACAGAGAAGAGGCAGGGAACAGTGCCCCACTTTTTTTAAGTATCCCAAAAGTGCCTCTAATTACATAAGAAAAGTGCCCCTTTCACTTAAATCCCCCCTTTTCTTTCAAATAGGTGCCCATTTCACAATCTTATCAGTGCCTCTAATTATACCACCTCCGATCAGTGCCGTTATTAAAATCTGAGAGGTGTTATACTTTGATAACGGTGCTGTTTTTCCTTTGTATGGAGGGCCCCTTCCCCTTCTAATAAGTGCCCCCTTTCAACTCAGTGTCCCTTTTGATTTGACACGTGCCCCCTTTTCTTTCAAATGAGTGTCCCTTTTCCTTCGAGCACCCCTTTAATTTCCTTTTCAATAAGAACCCGACCCCTTCCCCTTCTCATAAATGCCCCTATTAAAATCTGAGAAAATGTATCTTATTAAAGGTCTTTTCAGTCTCTCATGATTAGATTGGGGTTCTCCTCTTTATAGGATGTTATTTTTCGCACTATATGTGACCTAGCTTACAAATTAAACTTTTCTGACTATAGCTCGCTTCAGCTTCATACCCAACTGGAAAGTAAAAGAGAAAAACAATGTAGGGGTATAAACCAATTTCTGCAAATCGTACATTTTCGCTTTGAGGTTTCCTCCTTTTTTAGTGTGGTGATTTTGCTCTTGGTGTCCACTTTTGAAGACAACAAAAACAACAATTTTTTTGCGAGCGCGAGCAGTTGAGAATCCCACCTGCGCTATACTCTAGGTACCACATAACCCACTGCAGTTAGTTTAGCATTGATAAACTAGCGCCGTGTGTCGCGCGGCGCGTGCGGAAGTAATTTGCACACACGGAAGTACCGACTCTCCCTCCCTCCATTCCCTCGAAGAGAGACTTCATTTCTAACTTTCCTACCGTTAATCATCACAGTATTTAGTGACAAGATGCCGGTAAGTGTTATTCAAGACAATTCAAACATTTTATTCTTATTTATTGCCCATGTTTTAGATGTTTAAAGCCTGAAATAGGCGTCTATATTGTGGCGAGATGGGTGTTCAGTCGCACTCGTAGAGTTTCGTGTAGTGTTGAGAATGAGAGATGATATTTATGATGCGATGAGGAAGAGAAGCCAGGAGGAGGAGGAGGATCGAGAAGGAGAACATGACGAAGATAAAAGAGAAGGAAGAGGAGGAGGAGGAGAAGAGGGAGATAAAAAATGTAAAGAAGAAGAAGATGAAGAACAAACATGAGAAGAAGAATAAAAGAAGAGCTTCAGAAGAAGAAGAAGAAGAGGAAGAAGAAGCAGAAAAGAAGAGGAACTTGGAAGAATGGTGAGGAGAAGGAGAAAAAGACAAATGAAAAAATAATCCTGCATGGAGTCTCAACTCTCAACTCTAGTTGTAACTGAATTTTAATCAAACATCAATTAATCTTTCTGGAAATTCAGCTTCAGATTACATGTGAAATATATAGTTTTGTGTATCTTTCTGTCACAGTTGAATTACCCTCGAGAGAGAAATTGGCATCATGACATTTTAATGTGATACTGTGATACTGCAGGGCGTGTACATTTAACTCAGTGTTTATTAATTATTGCAGTATTTACCAAATTTGGTTTTCCCTTTGGCCAATATATTACTATAAACGGCAGTATAAATACAAGTATCTTGATTCTTCCAATTAACATTAAAAATATATTTCATTTGTGACGGCCTTAATTCCATTTCTGTTAACCTATTTATTTTCCCCAATTGTATTTCAATTCTGTAATATTGAAAAGCATTTTGTTATTTTATGTTATTTGTATGTTATTTATACAATTTCATGCCAGTGGGAGACGTTTTTAAAATGTAGTTTTTTCTTCTTCTCAATTCGGATAACAAGATACATGTGAATATGAATATGACTCGCTTGTACATGTACAGTACCTGTATTTTGTATTTGTGTTTTCAAATAACTTCAATGATTAGGTCAATGTTCATGATATCCATGCAAATGATTTGTCAAATCCAGGCCTATCACTCACAGTTTACTGATGCCCAGCTAAAGATAGGGAACCTGGCCCTTCTGCCTCTAAGGACCAAGTTTAGAGGACCAGCGCCAACTAACAGTAGTAAGTTAAAAATGATACTAAAAACCATATCTGATCAAAATACAATTTTATATCATGGAAATCTGAATGAACATAAGAATAAGATGCATTTTTTTTTTGATAGAAATTTTCTCTTTCAGTATTGCATAACAGCAAATGCAAGCCCCTTTGTGGGTGGAACTTACTCCCTTCCTTTCTTTGTGAGAGTTATAGTCTAGAACATTTTTAATTGTGCCTCAAAACTTGCCTGTTTCCGCAAATGTACTTTTAATGACTTGAATTAGAGGAGCCTGCGCCTTTGAATTTTAACAACAACAAAAAATAACTATGGCCCATATATAAATGCTGTGAATCATTATCCTCGCAGTATTGTGTGATTGTTGCTCTCTCTGATCTTAATTTGACAATAAACTGCTGATGTTTTTTTTTTCTTCTAAGGTGATGATAGTGACATCATTGATGAAGCCCTGACCTATTTCAAGGCAAATGTTTTCTTCAAAAACTTTGAAATCAAGGTAAGCTAAATCAATCAATAAATCAATCAGTCAATCAATTGATCAATAAATTCACCTTCAATCAATCAATTAATAAATGGATAGGTAGATAACTAAAAACTCCATACTCTAAAGTCTGAATGTAACTAGAATAAAACATACCGGTAACAATATGCACCTGTTAAACTGTGCAACAATAACAAAATTCTTTTTCATTTGATAGAATTTAATTAATTAAAGTTAGTTTCCTCACTGAAAATTGATCATGGATGCATTGTTTTTTTTTATGTCATATTTTAAAAACAAGAATGGAATCCTAAGGACCTTGCTAATGTCGTTTTACTTTTTTTCAGGGATGAGATTCCTACGCCAATTCCTTTGAGATTAAAAAAAGAAAAAAAAAAAGATGTTTAAAAAAAGAAAAAGGTAAATCTTATCTGAACAAAGATGGGGTAGTAACAATTATTTCTGAAATTTAGAATTTAAATGCAAGGAAAACGTGTCCTTTTACGTAAATATATTCTTAAGCTTTCTGCAGAAAGGGGGCGCTGCCACCAGATCCCCATCAAATCTTCCTCAATTTGGGAATTTCTCTGTCTCATCCCTGTATTTCCTCATGCTCATTTTGTTACATCTCAGCTAAGACAGTTTTTTTTTCAGAGCTGAAGATAATATGGTTTGATTTAATTGTATTTTGACAGAGTGATGCTGACAGGGTACTGATCTACATCACATTGTACATCACAGAATGTCTTAAGAAGATGCAAAAGGTAAGTTGAAACTCCCAATGAAGTCTTTCCCCTCACCCTGTGTTCACATTACTGTGTTCAGACTACTGGAATTCATTGTATAGGTGTACGATTCTTGTATAACAATACAATAATTAATTGCATTTTGCCTGGTCTGAACGTTGTAGAAACGTATAGTAAAACTCATGTTTGAGTATCGTTTCAAATGGAAACTCGATAGAGAATCAGGGGCCCATTGTAGTCTGAATGTTTTATCGTATGGAAAAACATATAATTGGGTGGGGCTTCTTCTTGAATGCAACACTGATGGTTGGCCAGCTGTCATGTCAATTGACCACTTTAGTATTTGTTTCTTTAATTTGATGCTGTTTTCTACACACCTTTTGCTCTACACTGTTTCTTCATATGAGCTTTGTATGAATTTCCTATGGTCTGTAAAGTCTTTCCCTGAGTTGAAGTTTTGTTATTATCATTGATGAAGTGGTTGTTATTGAAACATAGAACATACATCAATCATCTTTCTGTCATTTGTTGGTAAAGCACATTTTACTGTAATCTATATGCTGTCTCACTCTGTTTATCATTCTCTCAACTTTTCCCTCACCAGTGTGCCTCTAGGAATGAGGCTCAGAAGGAGATGACCTCTCTGGCCATCGCTAAGTTCAGCATACCAGGTGAAGCAGGCTTTCCTCTCAATGCCATCTACCTAAAACCAACCAATAGGGCAGAAGAAGGTATGTAGTGAAACCTGTGTATAAAGACTTGATGGTGACCAGAAAAGTGGTCTCTATATGAGCAGGTGGTCTTTATGACCAGGATTCCTTTTGATGAACAGTGAAAATCACTGTTTAAAGGAAACAAATTGTGTTTTTTATTGACAGGTGGTCTTTATGTAGTGGTGGTTGCTAAAGCGGGTTTACATATGTTACCAACACCCCTCTCCCCCACAAAAGAGTCGGAGGGGAAAGGGGGGGGGGGGGGAGTTGTTCAGTGGGGGAGAGGTGAGTAGTTGCCTTGGAGAAATTGCCATTCTGGTAGTTGTCCAAATATGGCCTAGGATATTTGAGGTTGCCTAAATGAAAAGAAAGTGAGATAAAGATTCTGAAAGTCATACTGCACACAGTAATGTGTATAATTATATGACTACATGCACATGTGTCATGAAGAGTTGGTCCACACTTTCCAGCCATTTCTAATCATATTTCAAATATAATGACATTTGAATAGCATTCCTTTTCAATGGGACATTAGATGTTATAATACGCTTTCAAGCAAACATAAAAATAATGAGAAAGTCAGCAAATTATCTGTCACCTGATGATAACTCGACCTCCTCTTAAATTTCCTTTTTCCCCCTTTCACATCCTCAGACCAAATGAGGGCGTACGTACAGCAGATTAGGCAGGAGACGGGCCAGCGCCTGGTAGACAAGGTGCTTGATCCAGCCACGAGCAGACCTAGCAAGTTCTGGATGTGCTTTACCAAGAGAAAATTCATGGACCGAAGCCTCTCTGGCCCAGGACAATGAGCAAAAATAGATATAATAGGGCAATTCCAAGGTATTTTGTCCCATGCAATACCGACCACATCTAAGATTTCGGTATCTGATGACCATATCGAGCTGATAGCCATATAAGAGCTTGAATCAGACAAAACATCAAATAAAATGATGTTTAAATGTTGATTGATGTTCACAATTCCATATTACAATTCTGTAATATTTGGTAACATGTGGGACATACCTTGGACTTGTTCTAAACAGCTTATTAATGAGAGACACGCACAGTGCACACACACAAGCACGAGATCAACTCTATATTGGTGAGGAAAAAAAGTATGTTTTGGTAACATATGCTAACCTTCAAATTATTAAAATAATTGATTAAGGGGTTATTATGTACAATTCTGTAGTTATTGTGGTTACCAATTAGTGATACCTAATAGTCATACCAAGTAATTTTGTTGTCTTTGTGACGGTATATAAATAGAAATTAGGCATATGAGGTTTGGAACATAGAGCCTTCCCATTTGACATGCACCTAGAATTAAGAAAAGTTATTTACGGTATCGGCGAGAAGTGGAGCCAAGTTTAAATATTTACTGTGTAATTAAAGTGCTACTTAAAAATTGTTACAAGCAGGAAATGGGGAAGAACAAATATATAACGATGCAGTAGTCCTGCATCTCGTGATATCAACTTTTATGTCAGAAATCTACATTCCCTTTAAATTTAGGTGTGCACTTTGTATGTCTCTAAAAATTAAGCTATATTACATCATTTTATATTGTCATCTTCCTTCATGTATTATTATTAAATAGACATTTTTTATTGCAGAAAAATAACCAAGATAGATAGCTAGTTTTGTTATTTTTTTGCGTCATATGGTATTAGAAAATTTTATTTTCTAGAAAACATGATAATCCAATGCAATTGACACTCATGCAAAACTTGGGAGATGTGGAACAGTGTCTATTAGGACTAGTTAGATAGTTAAATATAATCAAAATAAATACATGGAAATCCCAGTACAACAATATGTTTTACATGGTTCCATAGATTTTTCTTTTGAAATGGTCAGTAAGCATTACATTTGGCATATAAATTGCGGATATTAGAACTTAAAAGATGAAAGAAATCGAAGAATGAAATGTGTCATATGAATATTATTTTGTCTAACTATAAGCATATGTGTATATTATTTGATGATGCATTTGCTGGTAATCACAATGTATAATAAAAAAAAGCTTTTTTATGATGTGCAACAGTTCATATATATATATATACACACAAATTACTCCCCAATAAATCTGTAATTACTTCCTTTTCTTGCTATCATTAATATTTCCCTAATGTCATTCCAGTTATTTATGATTCTTTAACAAAAATTGCATATGGATCTAGGATGTTTCTGTCTGCTCACATTTTGTCACAAAATTAGTTACAGTTTTCAAAACTGTAACTTATTTTGTAATAAACTTATATAGACTCAAATAGGAATGCTTTAACCAAGTAATGAAAGATTATCTGTATTGTAGTCAATATTTTCATGATTCATCCATGTTTATTGGCGGTGTTTGACACTGTAGAGACAACACTTTGACGAAATTTTCGTAATTTCTTGTCGTCCAAAAGCATTGTCATCCATTAGGAAGAAGGAGGCCCCTAATTTCTTTTGGAAATTAAATTTAATTAAGTAGTTGGCATAAAATGTGTTTCTTCATAGTGTAGTCAATATTGTTACATTCTTGAGCAAGCAGTCTCATTATAATATAGTTAAAGATTAATTACTTGTTTGTATTGTTACCCGAGCCGAGGGAGAAAGTTGTTCTGAACTACTTCTTTGCACAGAGATCTCTCCATATGTCAGTGATAACTTACTTTTCAAAATTGTATTTATATTAATCTCAAATTGGTTTTAATGAAAGGAGAAATAAAGCACCAATAAAGTATATGTAAAGTACACACTCCTAAAGTAGACACCTGCTTTTATTATCTTGACCCCTCTATAAAATCTTGTCGAATTGAGGTGAAAAGTGTCCCTTTAAAGCTGTGTTTATCGGCATTATATTTATCATCATAGTCGGAATGGTAGTCATATCTATTTCTATGGAAGTAAAAGAAATATTGTCCTTTTCATTATTGCTGTAGTTATAAGAAGAAGAAAGAAAAAAAGAATATATGTATCATGATTATAATGATAATGATAAGGATGCTGGATATATATGTCACTGCATTGTAGATTTTCTTAAAATATTGCAAATTAAATGTACACTATTGTACTGATAGCTCTGTGAACATGTGGATGATTTGTCTTACAAAGGAAGAGTGTATGGGAGGGTAAGGTGTAGTCGGAGAGAGAGAGAGAGAGAGAGAGAGAGAGGAGAGGGAAAGAATGGAAGGAGTAGCTGGGAGAGAAGGGATATCTATCGGGCAGTCGAGATGGGGGTATAGCAGGGAGAAAATGAGGAGAAGGAGGTGTTAGAGAGAGAAGGGGAGGGGTGTCTGGGAGATATTTAGGGAGGGGGGGGGGATAGTAAAATCAGCTGGCGACGCTATAGTCTGTATAAAATGAAGGGATACAGAGAAGGGTTAACAGGGAGAGAGAAACGTTGTAAGGGAGGTCGAGACTCGAGAGACTAGTAGTGAGTTTCTGGAAATTTAGGGGCTAGTTTAGTAGCGTCTATATGAGAAGAATTTGAGACATCTCTCAGGAATGTTTTCTGCTAAGGGTAAGTCCACACACCAGAGTCATCTTTTTTTCTTTCTCCATATCTCTCTCTTGCATCTTTAACCTTCTTTTGTATATATGACGTCATTTGATATGTCGCCTCTCAAAACTGATCTTAATTTCTCTTCCTTGTTTCTCATAAGGAAAATAAATTGTTGTTTTGTCCTTTGTGACCGACCCAAGAATTTAGAAGAAAAAAATTGTTTAATGAATCAAAAAACATGAATTAAAGCTTCCGAAACTGAAAATATCAGCCCAAACGGAAGAAAAAAAAAATACCTGACCAACCGACCAAGGTAAACATCTTTTTTTTGTTAGGCTAGATAACACACATCTTTCCTTCCCAGATGGGAATTCGCATTATGCACAAAGTTTTCGAATTGTAGACAAAGAATGTTGTGATAAATATACAAACTGTTTTTTTACTTTTGAAAAATGTCAGTATGTTTTAAAAAACAAAAAACAAAACGAATATGGATCTGGAGATATCGGGGTTCGAACCCGAGGCCTCTCGCATGCAAAGCGAGCGCTCTACCGCTGAGCTATATCCCCTTGCCTGACCAATCATGAACATTAATCATTTTTATACTGTACATATTATGATTTACTTCACAATATTTCAAATATTGGGATAATATCCTATATTTTGAGCCGGTGTGGCCACATTCAATTTTAAAATTACATTAGACAATTTACAGTGTATACATCTCTTTTTATACTGCGAATTTTACCATTTTATCACGCACTGAGCAACGGTCAAAGGTCATCAGCAGCGTTCATCGAAACGGTTTACACGTTCCCATTCGTTTCAATTTGTGTTGGTTTTATTGTTCAATGACATGACGTGTGTAAACTGCCGATTATTTTTTGTTGATTAAAGAGATGGGGCCTTATCAGAGCGAATTCACAATTATATTTTAAACATGTTACTCTGATTATGGATGATAAACCACCACCTAGTAGGAGGTCATCTGGACACAGTGATAAATCGAAAAAATCTAGTAAAAAGAAGAAGAAAAGCAAGCACAACAAAGACCGCAACAAACGAAGCCCGGACGAAACAAATTCAGATAGTGCACTGGAAACGAGTAAGAAATTGTTTGTTTTATTGAATTAAAAAGATATTTATTTAAAAAACATCAACATGTGACAGATTTGGCCTTGGTGAGTTTGACAGACAAATGTCATTACACTTTGATTGAGTTATTGATTAAGTAGGCTAAACTAAAGACAAGTTTGATGTCCGTTTAAAATTTGTTGAAAAAATGAAACTAAAAAAAAAGTAGCCTAAACGGAGTATAAACTAAGCGTTACTAAGGGTCCTTCTTCTTTTTCGCTTGGCTTTCTCCTTCGAGAACTGCAGTTGGTGCAGATGTTGGTTCTATATTGCATACAAAAAGAATTGGGGAGTGTATAGTATCAAACATCACGTGGAGGTCAAGTAAAAACTAAAAACTGAGACTGAGAGAGAAATTGTGAAAAAGTGAAGGGTTAATCAAATCAGAAAGTGAGGTGTGAGAGCAGAAGCCAATTAACATAGCCATGGCAGAGGTTTTGTAAAGCATTCACCCTTAATTTTGTTGTTACAATAATAATGCCTCTCCCAGCATCTTAGCCAGTGAACAGTGAGTGAGAAAGTTTTCTCAAGGCATAGACCTTCTAGCTATAAACGTTCTAGTGCAGTGTAGAGTGGAGGCTTTTTACTGGGTTGATGATACATGTAATTGATATACAACTTAAGAGGTGGTGGGGTATACACCTTCCAGTTGTTGCGCCTTGATAAGAACTGCCCGTCTTAGTCTAGGCGGGTGGATGGTTGATGGGGGAAGTTTATGCACACGGTCATGGTTGTTGGAAAGGAGCTGAACAGAAGACTTTGAATTTAAAGCTTCTTCTGTAAGCCTGTAAGGTTAGCTCTCAGCTCTTGTATGGCCTTTTTCACCACCAGCTTCCAGGTGTGGGGAGGAGGTGGAGAGCTGATAAGCTCTTCAAGAAGAAGGAGTTGGTATTGTGTGAGCTAGTCATCTAATCTCTTATTGGAGCATCGCCTGGCTCTCATACATGACTTTTTGTTATGCTCGTGGGTTCGAGTCCTGCGCTGGGCAGACAAAAATGCAAAAATAATTAGATCTAGTACAGCTTTGAAGTTTGAAGTTTGAAGTTTATTTATTCCACATTTTACATAAAAAAACGGTTTATATATATATATATATATATACATAAGCAAGTTTAGTGAAACTGCAATATATATACATGTATTTTTTTTTTTATACAGGTGTATATTATATAAGAGTAGATTTCACACAGGAAAAAAATTAAACAAAATAAAAGATTTCAAATCAAGTATAATGTACGGAAAATAAGTACCAAATTTGAGGTAAGCGCGTCCCTCCCCTCTCTCTCTACTTGATGCAGGCTCAGATTCAGGGGAAAACACTCCGTTACTTGGATTAGAAGGTTATTAACTGGAGGTCCTGTTTATAACTTTTGTAGGAGAGTCACACCATATGCTTGTTTAAAATATGCTAGAGTGTAAACCCAGTGTTTAGTTTGCCTGCATACAAATCTGGTAATCATTTTTCAGAGCTTCGTGATAGGCTGCATAGCCCTTTGAACAAAATAAGAAGAACTCAGTGATACTCAAATGATATTCTTATTGCTCACTCATTTTGGAAGTTTTACTCAAGTAGATCACTTGAGTACATGTACATGTAAATCCATTACAAAATGCACACCCCTGAAACATGCGCAATTTTGGCTCGGTGTAAAAATGTCAGAGGAAAAAATGTCAGAGGTAAAAATGTCAGAGGTAAAAATGTCAGAGGTAAAAAATGTCAGAGGAAAAAATGTCAGAGGTAAAAATGTCAGAGGTAAAAATGTCAGAGGTAAAAATGTCAGAGGAAAAAATGTCAGGTAAAAATGTCAGAGGTAAAAATGTTGGAGGTAAAAATGTCAGAGGTAAAAATGTCAGAGGTAAAAATGTCAGAGGTAAAAATGTCAGAGGTAAAAATGTCAGAGGTGAAAATGTCAGAGGTAAAAATGTCAGAGGTAAAAATGTCAGAGGAAAAAATGTCAGAGGAAAAAATGTCAGAGGTATAAATGTAAGAGGTATAAATTAAAAACAAAATCATGTGGCAAGTTTGTTATGGTTACACCCGGGTTATTAGGCTTATCGAAAAAGAACAGCGATGGATATTCTGCAGTTGTTATTTCACCGCTGCTTTATTTTCCACTTTCCCAGTTAAATTTATTTACCTTTCGGCCCCCAATGGTGACTTTTTGCCCGATTATTGCTGAAGGAAGACGAGGGGGGAGGGTATTTTTCTTCTGGGGCACGGTGACCCGGCTGCTCTCCCCCTTCCTCTTATATAATGCTTTGCTAATAAATCCTTCCGAACAGTGGTCAATGCTGAGGCAGAGCAGGCAGACTAATGGGACATGGTTTCTACTCCGAGTTTCGCGCCTTGCAAGCAATCATCAGGCAATTGATAGCATTCTTGAACATGATTATCCTACAACCTTGGTACAAATACCCCTAAAATAAGACTTAACTCATATCCTGCCATGAGACTGCTAGCGCGCTATTGTTATAGTGCTCTGTGCACAAAGCAGAGTAGCGGTGCCACGTTCATGCTAGCGAGCCACCGCTACTCTGCTTTGTGCACGCAAGGGCGCATATGTAATAACAGTCATTGTTCATGCCCATTGCACCGTTCCGAGTGCTTTTGCAGCGCTATTGAAAGTACCATCGCGTGCATCAGATTATCGGCTTTGGATTACGCGTCTTTGTATACAACAGTCAGATTGGATTTTCTCGAGTAATTTAGCAATTTGTTTTTTTGTAAAGATTTAATTCACATGCACTTGAACCAACCTTAAAATTAACTTGGCACACAGGAGATTTGTGGCTGGCACAATAGGGATTAGCACTGTGGCACTGGGTGCATTGTATGGGTGGCAGCTTAAGAGTTAACTAATAAAATACAATTAGAATTACTCATGAGTAATTCTTATTATATTGTATTCAGGTATTGTATTAGTTAAGTCTTATTTTGAGCGTATTTACCAAGGTTGCAGATGAATCATGTAAGAATGCTTTCTTGTCTGATGATCGCTTGCAAGGCGTGAAACTCGGAGTAGCAACCATGCATGTCCCATTAGTCTACCTTATTCAATATTTATATACCGGTATATTATGCTTTTGTAAAAGCACATGGTACTGGTACACTGAGCAAACTTCTGGGGAAAAAGATTTCTAAAATCGAGAAGTTTGGCCATGTTTTATAGGCTGAGTTGTCGCTCCATGCATGGTGTAATTATTAAATAAAAAGAAAAGTCAGTACAGCCCCCAAAATAGGATCAGATATCTATGAACCCCCCCCCCCCCACTTCTCCTTCACTTTTGAAGATTGTTGGACATTTTAACTGCGTGGCAATGACTACTATTATATGTAATTCCAATAAATGCATATTTCCGACAATTCCACTTTCTTGTGGGCTTGGTATTTTGATACTCTGAAACAAAGCAGAAAGCCATGTTATCAATGCTAACCGCACCATCACATTCCCGAAGTGCGCGCGTTGCAATAAAATATTGTCGATTACTATTGCGGTATTAAAGAGTCTGGGAGAAAATCAATAAGCAGCTTTGTTACTCCGATACAAAGCAGAAAGCCGCCGATGTTACATCAATTAAAGAGAAGGTTGAGTTCTGGGGAAAGGTGAACAATAATGTGTGAGCGTTTGTTATCATTCTTATTATGCAAGTGTGGAAGAATTAACATCAAAGAAAAAAGTTATTCCCTGAAAATCTATTTCAAATGACTTCATATTCCAGATATGACAAGTAACAGCTTTAAAATGAGGCCCGATTTGTATGCCATATGTTTGTGTAGTCCCATATCAATATCTCTCTGTGTACAGTGCTTGTTACTTTACCAAGAAAGGGCCAACGATTTTATCATTTTGATGACTCCAAAACCTTGCACTACATACCAATACTTAGATGTTTATGCTAGATGATCAACCTTTTCTGATTGCTTCCACACCGTTTCTTTCACAATGCAATCGCAAGACCAGAACTCAACTTTATCTTTTAAATGCCAACCGCACCATCACATTCCAGAGAAGCGCGCGCTTTGCAGAGGTTCGGTTTAAATTACATCGTTATTTATAATTGTCGGAGAGTTTAAAAATGGGATGAGCTTCTGAATCGAGACGGTCTTTTACTTTATGGAGCGGGTTTTTAGTTTTCGGAGCGAGTTTTTACTTTTCGGAGCGACTTCTTGATTTTCTTATTTTTACTCCACTTCTTTTGCCGCCATGAGGTGCTAAAGCTTTAGCAGAGTTCGGGGCGCCCAACCCTTATATGTAACTTTTCGTGATTCCTCGTGATTATATGTAACTATTTGTACTAAATGCACTACTCACTTTAACACTTGACTTTTGTCGAGAACTTTCATTTCTTCGTTTGGACTTTGTTCGTCTCTGGAACGTTACACGCGGATAGGTGCAGGCTGGCACCGGCCAAACCGGTCCGTTTCACAAACATT